GAGATCTATCTCAAAGAATATAAACCCAAGTTAAACGTGAATAATCATCAATAAATAACACAAAATAACAAGCACCAAATAAACCAGTAGTATGAGCTGGTCCCCAAACATCCGAATGTACTAACTCAAAAGGTTTTAAACTTTTATCAAAACGAGACTTAAAAGTAGCTTGACGATGTTTACTAAGTTCGCAAGTAGTACAATTAAACTTAGAAAAATCAACTAAAGAAGGGACCAAGGCTAGAAGACTATTTGAAGAGGGATGTCCAAGGCGGCAATGCCACTGGTAAGCTAAGAAGAGGTGGAATGTAGAGCTGTCAGAACAGTCGTTGGGTGGAAGTAGTAAAGACCATCCTTCTCAAACCCCCCACCAATCGTCTTCTTCGTCTTGAGATCCAGAAAGACATAATGGGAAGGAGAAAAAGTAACTAAGCAATTTAAATCTGATATGATTTTGCGAACTAACAATAAATTGAATGAAAATTAAGGGATATATAAAACTAATGAAAAAGTGAGACCCGAAGTGTGGAAGGTACCAATTCCATAAATAGGTGATTTGGCACCATTCGCTATAGTAACAACTGATGGTGAGAAAATATGAGAAATATCATAAAGAAGAGATAGGTTACCTATCATGTGATCGGATGCTCCTAAATCAATAATCCAAGGCGTAGAATATGACATATGGAGACACGTAACGATAGTAGCGGTGGAGGAGGGCTGATTTGCACGCTCACGCTTTACCAGTTTGGTGCTGGTGATTGACCCAAGAAGATGGGATATCTTAGTATCCTTCACAAGAGTTGCCGAACAAATGAGATATAGTAGCTAGAGGGAGCCGAGATAAGAGAACCAAAATCTAGCCGAGATGAACCCGAGAGAAATTGCCGAGGAGAGAGCCGAGGAGGGATCCGAGAGAGATTGCTGTGACAAGAACTTAGATCACCGAGGAGAGATCGCCGAGAAGAGATTGAGAGAAAGCCGAGATGGAATCAAGATCAGAGTCTGAATAAGACTAAAAAAAAATTTAAAGAGGAGATCGATTTCTGCTCTGATACCATGTTGAAAGAGAGAGAGAGAGAGAATATATTAAAACTTATATGGTATTGAGTGAGTAATAATAATACAATGGTGTTTATATAGGAGAAGCTATGGGAGTAGGTGAGTGGAGAACAAGAAAACCCTATACATGGTAATTCTAGATATGGTAATGAGGGGAAGGTGACAACTCATACAATACTATACAACAATTGATAAGAATTTAAAGAAGATTTAATTGTTATTGGAAAAAAGGATAGGACAATATTTTGAAACTTGTATAAGGGGAAATATAGTTAATAGAGTTAGCGCCCATGCACCCCAAGTAAGATTAGATGAACACATTAAAGCAAAATTTTGGAACGCGTGGATGAACTAAATCAAGGGATACGACTAAAATGGTCATGTTGAAAAACATTGTGGAGGGTTTAAGATGGTATATGGTAGACATGGATTTGGGGATAGAAATGATGTTGAGGAGGGTATCTTAGCCTTTACAGTGGCAAATAATCTTGTATTTGAGAATACCTATAATAGAAAGAGGGATCAACATATAATAACCTTTAAAAGTGGATCAAATACGAGCTAAATCAGCTTCTTTCTAACTAAAAAGCTAGATCGATTAACAAGCAAAGATTGTTAGGTTATTCTGGGAGAACATCGCAACTATAAAATGGGAATGCTATAAAGATTGGCAAAAAACTAGAAATAGAAACGTTTTTGAAAAATACAAAATGTAAATAAGGAAGTTTAAAAAGTATTGAGAGAGGTAAAATATGGAGCATATGATGATATCTATTATAAATTAGGTGCAAAATATAGGGAGAAGAATAAATATAAACTTGCTAAACTAAGGGAGAGAAAATCTAGAAGTTTTAGCCATATTAAATCTCTCAAGAGTGAATATTTATGTGTTTTACTAAAATATGACAAAATTAAAGAAAGATGGAAAACTTTGAGAAGTTGAATGAAAATCATCTAAGGAAGTTTAGGCTTAGATGAATATAGTAACCTTAGGGATAGCATATTTTTCCGTAGGATCAAGATAAAAATGTAAGAAAGAAAATGAAAACAGGAAGGGCTTTACCGCCAAATGACATTCCTATTGTGGTTGGAAATATTTAGGGATGATAACTTGTGTTGGCTAATAAAATTGTTTAAGAAGATGTAAATAACCAAGAGAATGCACATGGCGAGTGACACAAAGTATTTTGATAACAATATATAAAACCAAAGGGGACATTGAGAGAAGAAAAAAGATCGTTATGTGGTTTTAATTTGTTTAGAGAAAGCCTATGATAGAGTACATAGAAATCTAATATGGAGGGATGTAGGAAGAGTGAGTAAAGAAAACAATAGAAAAATACAATGACACGATAAAGGACATGTATGAGGGATGTGTGACTATAGTTACAACGATTGTGGGGAAACAAGTGAAAATCTGATATGGAGGGTTGTAGAAAGAAAAGAGTCAAAGAAGGTATACTGACACAATAGAGGACATGTATGAGGGACGTGGGACTATAGTTACAACGACTGAGGTGAAACAAGAGAAATTCCAGTTACTTTAGTGTTTAGGTCAATTGGACTTAGGTTGGCAAATTTTTTGTCCAAAATTAGAGTTTGTAACTTCTTATTTTTGTTCTCAGTACAAATTTTAAAGTGAGTGAGTGGCAAGTTAGCTACCCTTTCTAGGTTGGTGAGTGAATATGTATGTATTGACAATCTGCTACTGTCGTGCCTACTTGGAGTTCAAAAGAAGCCACTCATTTTACAGAGATCAGTGTTGATGGTGGGACCAGAAGATCAAAACACTAGAGGAGAACCGGATTATGTGAGGAGCACAATCTGTTGCAGAGCGGACCGTGCCTGGAGGACTCAAGTGGTGGATTAGTCTATATCAAGTGATAACTAGGGGTTCTGGGCTTATGAACTGTTAACCTAGTGCAAATCTAATTGTTGGTTCGAGCTATTTGGATTAGGTTTCGTGATTTTTCTCCATGGAGGTTTCCACATAAAAGTCTTTTGTGTCTATTGCGCTCTCCTTTTTACTACTTTTACATTATATGTTTTGATGGATTAGCTGTTAATTGCACGACGGATTGAGTGAATTGAATCTATTCTATTAAATTGATTTACAAGTTATTGACAATTTAGCTAAAAGTTAGAAATTAGTTGTTTAAGCTATCAAGAGTTATTCACGCCCCTCTAGGTTTAGATCACGGACCTTGGACTAACTCTATATCAAAGCCTTCGGGTCATGGTTGTTACTTCTCATGTCGGCTTAGATCATGGGTCAGCATACCCATATCTTTTTGTCTTAGTTATAGATGAATTGATAAAAGACATTCAAGATGATATTTTATGGTTCATATTATTTGTTGATGATATTATTTTCACTGATGAAACTAGAGAAGTAGTAAGTGTTAAATTGAAGGTTTGGAGAAAATCCCTGGAATTAAAGGGTTTAAGATAAGTAGGAATAAAACTGAATATATAGAGTGTTACCTTAGTAAATCTAGAAATACAAATAGGGACATAGTGAAAATTGAGGATTAAGAAGAAAAAAAATGAACAATACCGTTATTTAGGCTCAATTATTCATAATGAAGGAGAAATTGGATGTGTTAATCACAATCCAGGCAGGATGGTTAAATGGATGAGTGCATCCAGTATATTGTGTGACCCACTGATGTTTATGGGACAAATTGTTGGACAAAGAAACAACATATGCATAATGTGAGTGATGGAAATGCGAATGTTGAGACCGATGTACAACAAGACAAGAAATGATAATATAAAAAGAGTAACATTCGTGAATTGGTTGAAGTAGTAACAATTGGAGATAAAATGAGAGAAAGTTGATTAAGCGATAAGATTATTGACCTGTAAATGGACTGTATTTGGATCGGAACAACACTTGATCTGATCCGAATGCAATAAGATTATTTCTTGTTCGGACCCAACCCGACAACTAGACGGGTTATTCATGAATGAATCCATATACGATTTTGTTACTAATCGGATATCCAATCTGATTACCTGATCCTTCATGCGATCTTTTTGTTAGAAAAAAAAAAAATTAGTGCCAAAAAGTAGAAAAAAATGATTAAAAAAAGATTGAGAAGCTGGGGAAGACAAATAAAATATGGACAAAATAAAGAGATAAAAATTAGATTTTTGATTCTTTTTTTTTTTTTCTTTTCGGAAGGTTAGATTTTTTGATTCTTTGTTAAAGAGAAACACTAAGAGTAAGAAAATTAGGGTGATGAAAGAAGACAAAATAATGATATGAAATATTTGATAATATTAAAACATTATATATAATAACATTAAATAATATATGTGTAACACATATTTTATAGTATTATGTTGGATCGGATTGACCATAATCCGATTTGTTTAACTTATGGATTATCAGAATTGGATTGTTAATGAGGCTATTGGATTAAATGTTAAATCATATCCGAGTTATAGGATCAGATTTGGATTAAGATCCGATTCATTAAGAGGTATACTAGTTAAGAAGAGTGACATGGTCCATGTTGAGGGTAGTGCTAGGAAAATGGGAAGACCAAAGTTAATGTAGGTTCTGTAAGGAAGGAAGGATATGGTACCATGCGGTTTGACTGAGGTTATGGCTTGGAAAGAACGGAATGGAAAAAAATGATTCATCTAGCCGACCTCAAGTAATTGTGAAAAAGGCTTTGTTGAGTTGAGCATATGATGTTATTGAACGTATGCACACTTAAGTTCTGTAACAATGTAAGTTTGATATTTATGGAATTCAGTTTTTTTAGATCTGCTGCTTATATGTTGTATCACCAAGCTTTATCACCTATGTTTGCATAAATGCTGTGATAATGCTACAGAAATCGTGCTTGCCAGATATTTTACTGTTTCACAGTAACTCATTTCTATGTTTTGTGTGATCTGAATTATATTCCTGTGGCACATTTCAGGATATTAGCCAACTCCAAGGCTTGTCCAAAGTGTAAACGGCCAATTGAGAAGAACCAAGGTTGTATGCATATGACATGCACACCACCTTGTAAATACGAGTTCTGCTGGTAAGTTAATCTAAATTTTTTTCTCCCTGAATTAAGTTAATCTACTTTGATTTAAATAGACACACTAGTCTGTATATTAATCATTTCTACTAATTATAGAAGTTCTATTGTTCAATGAATCTCATTTCATTTCCCTTCGTATACATCACTTTCTCCCTTAGGCAAATTGTCTTTTAGATTCTTTTGTGGTGGTTAATGCATATCATTCTATAATATGTGCTTGCAGGCTTTGCCTTGGTGATTGGACTGAGCATGGTGAGAGAACTGGTGGTTTTTATGCGTGCAATCGTTATGAGACAGCAAAACAAGACGGAGCGGTAATACAATCTAGTTTGTGACTTTGTTCTGACTTCCTATTTACTGCCGGTGCTTGTGATAAATGCATACGTCCCACTTCCACGGGAAAAGCTTAAATTTAAGTATTTGATATAATCTGTTGTTTACAGTTTAGCGAAGCCGAGAAACGGAGAGAGATGGCTAAAAATTCTATTGAAAAATATACTCATTATTATGAAAGGTGGGCAACCAATCAATCGGTAAGCACAGGTTGTTAAATACAAAATTTTGTGTTATATATTGACGTGATTATCTGTAACTCCATAAAAGTAAACTTTCTAGGAAACTCATTGTCAGAACGTAAAATTTCATCTTTTGTTGGTTGTGACAATTTGACTACTTAATATAAAATTTCATCTTTTGTTGGTTGTGCTAATTTGACTACTTTGTTAATTTACTGATTCATTTTCTTTATAATAACTAGAAGGGCCTATTTTAATTCTCATTTTGTTTGCTTTCTTTACATCCTCCTATATTTTAGAGTAATTTATCATGACCATTATAGCTTTTTCTGTGTTTAATATTTACATTTCATTTAAAAAATGAAATGTCCAATCGCTAACTCATCATTCCTAGAAACTATGTTTTTCTTGTACAATTATGTTGCCTAACATTATTTTGCTTCAACATTTCTTCTGTTGAGGAATGTTTGTGTGTCATACTAAGGGTTTGTAGTCTCTCATTTCAAGGTTTTAAATATTGGCTAACTTGACCAGAATCGAGTCTGAGCCAGCAAAATCTCAGCGCTATGAATTTCATGCTCAACTCGGCTTGACCTGGCCAAGTTGGGCCGCATTGTCTGTGAATCAGGGCTTCTTCTTTCTTTTTTTTTCCCCAGAAATTTTATGTGCAAAACGACGTTGTTTCCTATTATATTCTTCTCATTGTATAAATTTACATGGCGGTTACCTTCATTAATGATTGAATGAATATTTCCACAATTCTGCATTCAGGAGTAACGTGGTATCAGGATCATAAAGGATTTGATGCTTCTGGGCTTCATGGTTAGTGATCTAAGGTGTTTTTGATCTTCATCATTTGACCTTTCCCGAATCATAGTGAAGTTACCGTTGAGACCTTTCTCATTATATTTGTCTGATGTCGGTAGCCAAGAAAGCCACATAACCTGTGGGCTGGTCTTGGGAGTCTCTTTCTTTTTTGTTTTTTGTTTTAGGGTTCGGTAAGAATTTATTATGAATGAAAGAATAGAGTTGCAGTACAAAACACAGTGGCATACCCAACAACAGAATCCAAAAGAACTGTTACAGACACAGTTCTCCCACGAGGGGCCATTCCCATAAGAGCAAAAGAACCACTAGATATTGTGCAAATGAACCCTTGTCTGGTGGTTCTTTTGCACAGTGATAACTGAGATCGACTCAATTTTACCATATCCCCATTAATATACTGGGAAAAAAAATACATATCAAATTATTTTCTTTGAGATTCTCAAATGGAAATTAATGCATCTAGACATGTAGTAGTTCAAGTAATTGAAAATATGAAACCTTAAACTATCCTAGTCAGCGGTTATCAAGTCCTAATTTTTTATTAATTCATGAACTTGATAACTAGAAAATGTCTGGAAGAAATAATTTCAGATTATATATTTGCTAGAAGTTGGGTTGTACACATTGGGGACAAGGGAGTTAGCTCAGGTGGTTTTGTTTGGGGAAGGGAGACCAGGGGCTGTAGTGGTGAGGAGGGATGATTTATTCAAGTTGAAGGCAATGCAAGGTCTAGAGTGGTGAGTAGGGATGATTTTATTCAAGTTGAAGGCAATGCAAGGGCTAGAGTTGCGTTGTGGGGTGGAACATGGATCGAGTGGTGGGAAGACAAGATGACCCCATCATGGAGCTTTTGGCTAATATTTTGTTTAGCGTCCTTGAAGTAGTTAGATAATGATGTTTTGTGGAGTTTAATCTTGTAACTTTAGATTTTTATTTCCATTTCTCTATGGGGACTCCCAAGAAATTGAGTTGGTTTTATGGTAGAATTGTTTTAACTCAAAAATGGGACCTTTGTGGTTCAACCTGAAATTTTATTTTTTAAAATATAGCCAAAGGTAGCAGAGATAACCCTTTGAAAATATCCAAATTGTCTAGACCTTGGCAAGAACTTATGAGAAGTCCTTCGTGTCTTAAATGGAGTGGAAGTGGTGCAATTGGAGATTGACATACTAGACATGTGTATCTGAATCGGACCTGTGCATCTGTATGAGGCAATGGTAGTTTCTATGCTAGGCAATATTATGTTAATTCCCTCTTCTTTAAGTTCCACTTTATTTAGATAAGCTATTGGAGATTTCTGGAATCTACCTAATTTCTTGCCATAGATATTCGGATGCATTTGAGATGAGTTCATTGATTGCATTGTTGGACCCAGTAGCTTTCTTGGTAGTTCCTCCTTTTATCTGGTGACTGGTGTAGTAGTTATTGAATTTGTAAATATTGGTGTTTATTTTGTTATATATTTCCTACTATTTTCTTGATGAGTTGTGTTACTTTGTTTATTTAGTTATTGAATTTGTAAATATTGGTGTTTATTTTGTTATATATTTTCTTTTATTTTCTTGATGAGTTGTGTTGCTGCTTTGTTTATTTAGTGGGCCTAAATCCACTCCAAACTTTTACTTAACCACCCACATCTCTGTATGTAAGCAAAACATTTGTATGAAGTGGATAAGTGCAAAGTGGTGTGGATTAAGACCTATAGTTCATTTTGGCATTTAGGTATCATCCCAGGTTTCTAAAATTTAAATTTTAGAAGTACTTGACATTTTCACTAAGAAGTTTATAACTTTATCAAAATGGAGTCTAAATTCTTTTCTTTCTTTTTGCAGTCTAGGAAAAAAGCACTTGAAGACTTGCAGCAGATGCAAGATGTACACGTGAGTAAATTTTCTTCCCCCATAGTGGTACTGTTTCACTGAACTATTTTGCAATCAATTACAACGGGAGGTTTGTGAGTAGATCTTTACCGATTTCTCTTGATTTTATAGTTGTTTTTCATTTTGCAAGGCCTTTCCACCAAGAGCACCCAACTTACACAGACACACCCCCCATAAACGACATGCTCTGCTCCACACACGGGCACCCCCATCCCTGCATGCAATGTCACTCAGTGGTCTTTTCTGTACCTCCTGAATTTTTCATCAATGTTTAATTTTATTGTAATGATTTTTAATATAGCATAGTTTCACAGAGTATTTGGAAAAGGTTGGAATGAATTCTTGAATCACTTAAATCTAAAGTTGAGAGAGGGCAGTTCAAATTTTGGCATGATCATTGGCTTGGCTGCCTTTTTTTTTAAAAGATTGTTGTTGACCGGTAGTCTATGGTTGTGGGTTATATCATGAATTTGGAGAGGGATGGTGTGCAATATCCTCTTTCATATGTCGCTGCAGTTCTGGAATTTGGATTAGATTGTTGCTTTCTTTGGTATTATATGGTTGTGATGACTGAGTATGAGGAGCATAGTCACCCCGCGCAGGGGGGGGGGGGGGGGGCCCTTTGGGGAGGGGGGACATCAGGGATTTCATCTTAACTAAATATGTTGTTTTCTTTTAAAAGAATTATCTGCAGATCCAAGCTAATTTTCATAGAAGCTCTTAGTTACTAAAGATTATTAATGTTGAGCTTATCTGTTACTCAGGATCAACTCTAGTAGGTATGCATAAAAAAATCAGCCACCTGTCAACAAGCTAATAAAACACACGTGGTTCTGTTACCCATTTCATTTTCTTCTTCCTTCTCTTGTCAGGATGTTCAAAACGATCAGTGCTTTCTTGAGTTTCATTGCATGACGGAGCCTTTTTTAGATGTTTGAGAGAGGGAGTGGAGGGTTTCGAACTTCCTCGCCCATAAACTTTTCGACCATACTCGTCTTTCCTGAGCCATCTGATATCCCTGTTCTTCTATGAAATTTCTGAAAATGTTGATGATTATCTTTATTTTTGCAGTTCGAGAAGCTGAGCGACAAACAGTGCCAACCTGAAACACAGCTTAAGTTCATAATAGATGCCTGGATGCAGGTAAATAGTAATTTATGATTTGACTGACTTAAATATATTGCTTTCCTTATAATATTTTATACTTCACAGATAGTTGAATGTAGGAGGGTGCTAAAATGGACATATGCCTATGGATATTATTTACCTGAGCATGAACATAATAAGAGGCAATTCTTTGAGTACTTGCAAGGTGTGCTGTTTTCTTAATCTGAAAAGCATATATTACTTCCTTTGGTTTTGTTTTGAAGGCCCTCATTTCTGTCGCTTTTCAGGTGAAGCTGAGTCTGGGTTGGAACGACTTCATCAGTGTGCAGAAAAGGAGCTACAAGTGTATATCGATGCGGATGGTCCATTAAATGATTTTAATGAGTTCCGCACAAAGCTGGCTGGACTGACCAGGTGATTTCTAAATTATATTTTTTCCCTTTTCAACTGCATATTTGGCTTGTATAGCTAAATAATGTTACTGAGGATTACATATCGATCTTTTTTCTTTTAGCAGCTATATATCCTTTGTTCAATTGATCTTTGCTGGTAATTTCAATGCATTTCATTATACTGTATTAGTAAGTCAGCTGTAAATAGCAATATATTGTTGAATTCATCTGAAAAAGGAATTACAATAATTTTTTTATATATACAATGCACTACTTGTGTTCCTTTTGGTGTCAGCTACGACTTTATGTAAAGCCCTCTCATGGGTTTACTTTAGGGGTTCTGCTCTTTCTCGCAATCACAATTTGTGTTCCTTTTGGCCTTCATTTTGTCCTTTTGGTGCATCAAGCTGAACAGAATCACTAGTTCTTACCATTGCATTAGCTTGTCTACATTACACATTAAAACATCTCAGATGAATTCTTCTCTTTCATGGGCACCAACTTAAGACAGTCATGAGCATGGCACGGCAACTATTAGAAAAGTAAGACATGGTCATGAAAAATATTAGAGAAGATTTTGACCCTGCAAACAAAAGAATTTTTTATATATAGGATTACAGTATGTTAAGAACATAGTATGGTTATTTTTTTTAAGAGATTTTGTGACTGTATATACTGATACAGAATTTGTAACTTATGTATTACAGTATTCAATGGTCACTCATGTTGTATAGACAAAGATGTAGTAAGTACACTACATTTGTATATATATTTGCATGAATGTGTGAAGCGTGTTGGCTAATGGATATGCACTCACACAATTATGGTGCTTCCTCTCTTTTCCCGCGAGGGGTCATTGCTTCCCATAATGGTAAAAGCCCTAGTTGTCAATCATGAGAACGAGTGTTTAAACCAACAGGTCAGTGGCCTAGCAGTATCAGCCTCTTACCTCCCAAAGGGAGGTCAGAGGTTCAAGTCTCAAAAGAGACATGTGTGTGTATTAGTACTAACTAGGAAAAAAAAAAAAGAACGATTGTTTAAGATTAAGGGCTGTCACTTTGTGCAAATAATTTGACATTTTAGCCTTTATTCAGTATGTCCCTCTCATCATCCTCGATTATCCTTTTTCCTTTTTAACATTTGGTTATTGGGTTTTCCCTTCTATGCTATTCCTGGAGCTATAAATGAATCTAAGAATTGATAAAATGTATTGTTGGAGCTTTTTACAACTGGGTTCCACCCCCTTCTTTGATAAGCAAAGCATTCATCTTATTTGTTTTGTTTTGCAATACCAATGACTGCAGTGTGACCCGGAATTTCTTCGAGAACCTGGTCCGAGCTTTAGAGAACGGTCTGTCAGACGTGGCCTCGCGTGGTGCATGCAGCAGGACGGGCAGCTCGAAGAGCTTGGGAGGTGGGAGCAGTAGGGGGAGAAGCAATAGGGGCAAGCGAGCGACTTCCAGATCAAGCAGTTCAAGAACCCTCGACGATTCAGGAGAGCACTGGTCATGTGAATACTGCACCTTTGCCAACGTCAAGACTGATACCACTTGCCAGATGTGCCAGCAAGACCGATGAAGCCCATTTCAAGCATGATCCAATTTGGGTGGGGAAATTTTGGTTTTGACTTTCTCTGGCTAGTTGCGGTGAAGCCCTCATAGACCATTACCCGCAGGAAGGATTTATTAGTCATTTAACCCAAAGCGATGAACCTGATGAGATAGGAATGCAGAATGGAAACAAGGAAGAGGTGAGGAAGGGCAGAGGCAAGTTTTTTAGTCAGAAGGCCCTTTTTTAGTGGAGTCATATATGTGTTTATATATTCTTTTAATGGTCACTCCTCGGCTGTAATTATACCAAAAAGGATTTTTGTCGAGCTTAAACCCTACGAATGGATTGTAAGCTGAATTCTACGTCGAGACAACAAGCTTTTTGATCTCTGTGAGAACGAGTAAATATGTTCCCGAACTCTGTTAAGTTCCAGACTGTGTATATGATCACTTCTACAAAACATTGAAGATGAAAATTTGTCACTCTTCTCTGTCTCATTGTATCATTTGGTGCTTGCTATCATTTCTTTTCTCCTGTGTCCTATACTATGCCCGTCAAAGATTCGAATGGATCGGATATTGATCCAAGTCCTATCCGATATTTGTGCTGCTTGTTCTTCTCAAATAAAAAAGCACCAGCGTTGGTTTGACATGTTGAATTGATCCAATCAGATCGGATTTGTTCCTTTTCTGATCAGGTGCATCGAGAAATTATTATATGATCCTGGGGTTATTGGTCCCAACATGTTAGCTTTATTCAGTACTAGTGATTGGTTTTTTGATGTGGCATATAAATCTCACTATGACATTTTAAAATACCATTTCATATCAAACCTCTTCAAATATCCATATTGATCTAAAAATATAAGTTGTTTGGTAGTGGTTAGTGTCAAACCTACAGATTAGAGTTGGAATTGAAAACCATATTAGTTCGAACTTTAGTTTTCATTTTATTCAATGAATTTTCTCTTCGTTTTAAACTAATTTAAAATCGAAACTCGATGAATCTTCTATGGAAGATTGAATTCAAATTTGATCTTCCTTGAGCTCCAAGTCACAAAAGAAGTCAAAAAAACACGCCCAATACTGTACCGAGTGGAAATGAAAATGGTGTAAATTGATCGAGTAATCCATTTCCTTTACCCAACTATTGATAATAATGCAACACAAAAGGGCCATACATTAGCATGTTGATTTTTTTTTTTTTTTTCATAATAATTGATACTCACACATCCACGTAACCTTGAAAGCTTGAACTATTGACCTTCCTTTGGGAAGTAAGAATCTGATACCGTTAAGCCACTAGCCTGTTGATAGCATGCTGATTTCATGACACAATCTAATTGTTTGCTATTTGAGAAACGAAAATTCAAGTTTATATATATATATATATATATATTTGTGAATATGTTTCATAACAAAATTTAATAGTTAAATCGATATTATTAATCAATAAGGTGTGGTGTTGTGAAGTTGTGTCCCGAATTTTATTTTAGAATCAGTTATGGTCCGATTTTGACTAAAAAAGTGTCAAAAGGGGGAATTTTTTTTGCCTTCCACCCCCTCCTTGTGGGTCTTGAACTTGGTTATAGAATTCTTTTATAACCCAGTATATAAGGTCGTTTAGGGTTTGAAGTGTGTGATGAGAGAACACTGAAACCACAGGAAAGAGAGCTAAAATTTGGGAGTTGAAATTTATAATGTAAAATCTTTCACCACCTAAATCTTAGTGTCCTTTGTGCAGGACTAAAATCCTCTCCTGCGCAATACTAAACCAGTCCCCCTCAAATTAGTGATACATGTTAGGAAAATGTTGCGATGTTAGACTTGCATCCTGACATTTTCCTAACTTATATCACTAACTGGAGGGACCGATTTACTGTCGTGCATGAGAGAATTTTGATCCCTTTGTGCATGGCATGTATACTTGATTGTGATCTTGATTCAACAGCCGTGTTGACTTGGTGTAACCGTAGACTCTCATACCATAACTCAAATTCCATTGTTTATTTTAAAAAGTCGAATTTAAATATAGCCCATGTTCATTTCATCTAATGCTGTCTCTACCAAATTGTATGCTTGTAGCTTATCCTCACTATTTTATCTTGTAAAGAAGAAACATTTTTCAATAAAAATGAAAATTAATGGATACCATTTTACATATACATTTTCACACATCTTTGAGCCGTACAAACAAACATTCCAAGAAAATTTAAAAAGCTAAATTAGACTCAGTACACTAAACAAGCATCAATTCACACAATTCAACTAGCTCTGAAGAGTTACCACCACATTCAACAATAATAATTTTAGGATGCGGCACCATGAATTCTTTTACAGCGCAAAAATTTCAGTAAATTGGCTAAATGTGGGAGGGAAAAAAGAAAGAAAAAAAAAAAATTCAATAAAAAGTACACAACTAAAACAATATTATTTTTCAAGGATAAACTGGCTACCTACACGACTTAGAAATCCCCATCCTCCCGACTTTAAGCAAGAAAAACAGCATAATCTACGCAGCTATGAGAAGATTTCTTCTTTTTCTGCATCAATTTCTGATTTAGATATCTTTATCTCCTTTCCAAACCCTAATTCGCATACTCATTTCATGTTCTCAAACTCCTACTCTGAACCAGATAAGTATACATGAAGATGAAGCATCATTGTTTCGTGGTCCTTCAGATTTCAATCCAGGATTTCGTGTGAACCACTCAGAAAAACATTGTTTTGCTTCTCCGACTTTCCAAAAAGAAGCTTGTAGAACTGCTTCCGGAGCAGTGTACGTTAATTTCATGGAGAACTAACATGATTTACTTTCTGCAATGCTCCAGAGACACTACTGGTTTTGTAGGCAGCATAAGCCAACAACAGTGGAATTGACAAGCTATATACTGGGAAATGAATGATCGGATTCATCTCATAAGCTCTCATAAGATCTCTGCAATTCTGCATTTATATAGAAAAGCAAATCAAAAACCAGCTTAGATTAATCAAAAAAGAAAAAAAAAGTAATCAATCCTGCCAATTCTTTTTCTTTTTATGGTAGCCAAGGAGCCAGAGGGAAACAAGAAAAGAATATCAGTGTGTTCCAAATTTGGGGTCATCGTAGTTGTTGCAACTTGCAAGACTCGAACAGGTTCATTTCTTTTTCTCTAGAGTCTAAACAGCCATATAGAACATTCATGTGCTTTCAACATAATTCGGAACCATTCAGCAATTTGGGCTACTTTGGACATTAAAAGGATAAAAGTGTATGATTTAATTTGTGTACCGAACGGTAGAGAAAGATACTGTGTTGTGGCATGTAGAGGCAGCTCCAAATGAGCTGAGGGAAGTTGTAGAGTTACTTTTGAATTGCAAAGGTCACTTAATTAGCTATACCATCTGACAATTGTTGCAATTCAACAATTTAGTGATTCAATTGGTGGTCACTAGGTGAAATAATTGCAAGTACCCTCGGTGCATTATCCAGTGAACTGGATATCCTGAACAATCCCCTCTACTGTTCGTATTTAAGATGGAGGAGTTGAAAAATTACCTTGAAATGCTTCCAACAAACCACCAAAGAAACCAAAAGGAGAATATTCCTGATCCACCGCTTGCCAAGCCAAAACTTTGATCTACCATTACACCAGTAATCATAAATTTGGCGTCTCCTATTCCCCATACCATAATCGTCTTCTTTCTTCCCTGAAAGCCTAAGAAAATGTTCCCGATACATCAATCTTTCGGCAGCAAATAGTCCAGTCACCAAAATAGCAGGCAAAACCACGAAAAAGAGATGGGGTAGAACGACTACCATTGTATCCGGAAATCCAATAAATTCTAGTGCGCTCTTGTTGTTGAATTTTACCACCCAGCCTTTATAGGTCATGTATCCCCTTACTCCACCATCAGTGAAAACTTCTCCAAAAAACCAAGGACATGATATAAGGTAGAACAAGTAACATAAGATTCCAAACCATACTAAAGGAATCCCGTACAGCTCTGTTGAAACCCATGCTATACCATTTATGAAGCCCTTGTCATTGTTGAAATTATTGTACGTGTACTGCTTATTTGAGAAAGTAACAACAGCTTTTGGAATAAGAAGAATAGAGAACATGAGCAAATAAAAAGACCAAAATATTGGGTAGTATAGAGCATCCCATTGACAACCCATGACGATAAATTCTTTCCATGTCCATATGAGTCTAGCGCTATGACCACTTATAGAAAATGGTATAGATTCAGTCAGAGTTGATCGGCCCATTATGTCCGTTGCCTCTATTTGCAGCCAAAATCTATTAGGAGATGGATCCTCAAAGGCGTTAAAATTCCATGGGGCAGTATAGAGATCCCCCCTTGAGGAGGTGCCCTCATGCTTTCTCATAGATGTCTCCATGACCAATAATAGCTTTCCAGGGCTGGAGTCATAGATCCTAGCCACAACTGACACAATTGGGGAAGCAGAAAAAACAAGAGCTCTGACATTCCCATAAACTGAAGGATCTATAGACTTGCATTCGTACTCGTTAAGTGATGATGTTGTTAGCATAAAGCGCGAGTCTAATGGAAATGTTGGCAATATAATAGTCCTTTTAGCTCCCAACTTGAAGTCAATATCAACGAATGAAACATAACCTCTGTCGATGGCCAAAATGCGCATGGCTCTACTCTTCCTCCAGTCACCCATTTCCCACTCCCAGAATTCATTGACTGGTGGGACTGCACTAGAACAATTTTTGCCCCTTTTTGGAGGTGATAGATGACTATTTAACTGGAAATACTTTTGGGAGAAGAAAAGATGATGACCCAACTGATGGTGCCGTTTCAAATTCTTCCCAAACCTCGTATGAAGATGTCCACATAGGTAAGCTGACAAGGAATGCTTGAGAAAGATATCCTTTAGGCTCTTTCCAGAATTTGAAGCTGCTGAAAATGAAAGTGGAAAATGCCCAAAGGAAATTTTGGTTACTGGTTTTGCTGATTGAGAATTCAACTGCGAGAGTTCAGAATCTAATTCAGTTAACAGTTGGTCAGTCGGATGCCCAAAAAGATTAGTTGGACCTCGTAAACCGACTGGCATCGTACTGTCAAACCCCACAAAGAGAAGATTCCGTTCACCAGTCTGGACGATGGAGCACATGCAAATTAAGATGAGAAGTTATTGAAACATTCTAAAATGATTAATATATAAAACACTAGCATTGGAATCAAAATTCAGGTCTAGTGAGATGACTCAAAATTCTGGTTAATAAGTTTAGGACCTAATTGTTCAAGTGGAGTTCAGAAATATGATCGTCTGAAATCAGTGCTTTGGCAGTTGAAGCACCATATATGAAAGTCAGAAAAATGAATGATAAAAGGCAAAACAGAGAAGTAATAAAGAAAGACCTAGAAAGTCTGTTATTTTGAATATTTCTATGACGAATATTGAAACTGCCTCAGAAAATTTAATTTAAAAAAATCCACATGGATTTTAATAGACTCACAGTTTAAAGAGCAAAATATAAAAATAAAAATTATGCTTCATCTTAGTTACAGAGAGTAAAGCCCAAGAGTAATTTGGCATTTTCTACATTGGAGTTTTAACCTCCGATTGAAATCTATAAGAATCTGAACATAAGACATGGTTCAAATTTTTGAAATTTTTTTGGAAGTTAAAGCAAACACACACCCAAAATTCACATGTCCCTAGTGGGACTTGAACCCTCAACCTCCCCATTTGGGGAGGAGAGGTTATACCATTGGGCTAGAAGCCCTTTGGTCAAATTTTTAAAACTCATGGCACAAACAATGGAAACGAAATATTTGTGCTTTCCAAAACTGGATGTAAATTCAGCAATATTGCAAAATCACATTTAGGGCAGAAGTATTACGCGTGTACTTTTTAAAACTAATATTCATGAGAGCAGACAGTATTTATGCCACATAACAGCAATAGTTAATGAAGTTAAATAGAATAACTGACCTGCACAGTGATACTGTTGACCAGCCCAGTTCTCCCCAACTGCCCATTGATGCTATATTTAGAATAGAAATCAAATGAGCTACCAATGACTGGAACACCAAAACTATCATGATTCCCTCTAAGATCATAAAAGAGGTTTTTCTTAAGTCCACTTCTTTTAACAGCATCTTCCATTACATTTTTGTATTCCACCCACTCCTTCTCATCTTGCTTCATTGTTAACAAATCCTTGCTTTTCCCATCTGGTAAGAGTTGAGGAATAAGGAGGTTGGAAAAAAAGAAGAAGTTATTTTTGTTATTAATCCAATGACCAATAGCGGTCCAGAAGATCCTAAATGTTGCAATTTGATAGTAAAACAAGTAAAAACGAAGTATATAGATATATATGAAGGTGAAGAAATACAAGAATATAAAATAATTTTAAATTTTTCAGTAGGACGATTGCACAATTGAGCTATACCTAAATTTGCATACGAAAAAGCTGGATCTATCCCCATAGTCACCATAAAAATTATTTCTTCATCTTCTACAGTCTGACGTAAAGTCAATATATCATATGTTGGCAAATTTGTTCCTTACATGTTCAAGTTATATATGTCTTCGAGTCATGTTCTGAGGAGCGACAAAGGTCAATTTTCAACTTACGAAGGATGTCACTTGACAAAGCGTTCTGAGGAGCGACAAAGGTCAATTTTCAACTTACGAAGGATGTCACTTGACAAAGCATTCAGAGTATTTGCACCACCAAGGGTAAATGAGTCTATGAGGACACTTATGTCTATGTTTTAAAGTTCATGTTTTGCACAAAAGTGTCTCTAAAAGGTTTTTGAAACATAAGGGAAAGATTTCAAAATGTTTTTTTAGGTTTTTGAACAAATCAGAGAAAAGTTTATCAGAATACATTTTTTTGGCACATGTACACCCTTTCAGAACATGTATGAACCCATTCCAGAAAGAAGTGCACCGCACACATGTTCTCACACATGTTGTCTCCAAAAATACACTCCAGAAACATCTGCACAGGTACACCTTATTACTGCACTGATACACTCCCTACTATTTTAAAATAATGTACCAGTAACATCTGTCCAATACAAATTATCTCTGCACTGGTACAATTTTATCTGGTTACGATTTTTAAATGTATTAATTTTCAAAACAAGTTCTGATGTGTTTCAAATTTCATGAAACTTTTCCAAAGAGCATTTAATTTTTTTTTAAGTTGGCAAAGGTTTCAAAATTCAAATATAACACATTTTTGACATTGAAGTTGGCAAAGGTATTTAGATTCAAATATAAATGTTTTTAAATCTTCTATGAATATAGAATATCAAAAAGGGTTTTCTACATGGAAGACACATAGATTTCATCTACAATTTTTTGACATAGAACTTTTGACTTCACATTTTAAAAATGCTAGTGCTCTTGTTCTCTCTGTCTTTTAATTCACCAACCTTTGCTTTATACAGAGATTGTGTGAGTGTGAGAAACAATTTGAATGCTGTCAAACTGTTCTTCATCAACTCTATATCTGATTTACGTTCCGATTTAGCCCATTCTTCGGAGTTGAGTGGATGTATTGTTGTTGAACAATCATGATAAGAAGGGGCATCATCGGATTACCATCACATTGATCGATGTGATCAATGATCGAACTTGAAGGAACATGCCAGCGGCATTGCTCAAAGGCATGAGAGGCAACAGACGGCAACTCTAAGGTGTCAGCAGCAACTGGGTCTTGTCAAGTGTTTGCGTGTAAGTTTGAGTCAGAGTACGTGGGCATTGTACTTCCTTTTCAAATAGTGGATTTGTTCGACTTGGACTAGGTCTTGTGGGTTTTCTTTGCTAGGGCTTTCCCACATAGAAATTGGATGTATTTGTTCTTTACTTTGATTTTGTCTCGCTTTATTTTGCTGTCTGTGATTATTGTGACTAAATTTAATAATAATCAGCAAAAGTTCAAAAAAGATCGAAGATGTATTCAACCCCCCTTTTGGTCTGGGTACACCAATCTTAAAATCCCATGCCGTTTGGTCTTCTTGCCTTCTCTTTCACTTAGCCTTCAAAAAATCCAGTGTGCCTGGATCTAGGCAATTAGAAAAATGATTGAATAGTTGACCCAAGCGAGCTAATAGCGGGTGGAATTTGCCCCTCCCTTTCTTTAGACTTGCAGTAAAGCAGAACAAGTTTACTCGAAATCGACCACATTAAAATTACCTTTTGGGGAGGTATGTTTGACATCCAAAACTTTCTCAGCAACAGTCGGGCGCGATAATTGTCAAAGTGTGGATTTCATATGGTTAAGTGTCTGTGCCACTCTCATAAGATGTCAGGATACTAGCTACCATCGCCATTAGGATCTCAAGCCCCTTGTTGCAGATAAAGAGACAGGCTCACTTGTCTCAAGGAGCAGTTAAGAATCATACAACTGATTAAGGAGATGTTGAGATATCAGGAAGCAGGCTGAGATAATGCAAAGAGTTGGCAAATCTAATAAGAATAGTTTAAGCAGGATAGGTTCAATGCGTGTTGAAGAATTAAGAAAGAGATGCTATTTTTCTGAATTTGCTCAAGTAATCTGTGATGATTCTTCATGTCAATCATAATTAACAGCACTTCTGAATTCTGAATTCACAAAAATATTATCAACAATCCAAATAGCATATTGTAGATATCCTAGTTTACCAAGAGAGGTCTTAGTTCTAACACATCATAACTAATGATCCTAGGCAGCCAGTTATGCATTAAATCCTCTATTGGCTTATGATTTCTTAGTCAAATCCCTAATAGCATATTCAGAAGTCTTTATTAAGCCCTCAAAAATTCAGAGCAACTGTCAAGAGTTTCAGCATGCATGAGATTCCATTTCCTACTAAAATAACCGTTACAGCTTCAGCATTAGTTACCATTTCCTTTTGAGTAATGTAGGTGAATTAACCAATGAATACGCATACATGCATAAATACCTACACACACACACACACACATATATATTTATATATTTATTGAGACAAAGGGAAACTCAGGTAGAGTGACTTCAAACAAAGCTTGTTTATCTCAAGTTTTTTTATAACTCAGCAAGATAACAACAAAAGTTAATTCTTTTTCGCGCTTCGGACCGCTAAATCTTAATGCCTATACACACACACACACACATATATATATTTAGTAGCCTAGTAGGTGATTATAACAATATTAACATTACAAAAAAAGTATTTCTCAAAAAGGAATAAACAAAAATTCATCACACAGATATTAGTAGACAACCCATCAAACTAAATATCAACTCAGGTGAATAATACATAAGAAATTAACATTAGGAAAGGAAAAAGAAAAAAAATTCATCCCACATGATATAAGTGGACACCCATCAAGCTATATATCAACCCCAAGTGACTAATATATAAGAAATTAACATTACAAAAAAGCATTTCTCAAAATTGAATAAACAAAAGCTAAATATCAACCCAAGTGAATAGTATATAAGAAATTAAAGAAAGGACAAAAATTAGAACCTGTGAGATCACCAGTGATGAGGACGAGGGAAGGATTGATGATGGAAAGAGTTGGGCCCACCAATTGCTTGAAATCAAGAGCTCTGTCGGGATGATGAACACTGAAATGGAGATCAGAGAGCTGAACCACCCACACCACATCATCTGGTCCACCCTTCACATCTATAATCTGTCTCTCCCCATCACGTAGATTTTGTGTTGTTGGTTTTGAATTCTCTTCAATTCCTTTGTGGGTCTGATGAGAAAATGTTGCAAAGGGTGTGGTGAAGCATAACAAGAGGATCAGAATCACAATACCCATTTCTTCTTCTCCTCCTCTGTAATGGCTTTGCGGGAGACTTTTGGTTTGGTCGTTTTGAAGCTTTGTATATAAGGGAAGTGAGATTGCAGACACTTTTTAATCTAGGAAGCACTGATACGTGGATACGGAATACGGGTGCGATACAAACTGGTTTTTTTCTTATCATTTTATTCGTATAATTATAAAAAATATATATATTAATTTGAAATGAAAAATTAAATGTTTGTCATTTTTGTAATTTTATAGTATTATTTTTCAAATTAATTTATAATATATTTTAAATTGTATTGAATTATATTTATAAAAAAAATAATTTAATTACAAAATCATTCTATCATAAAAGTATTCAAAACGTATCCTTATTGTTCTATTTATGTAGTGTTTTAATAGTGTCTGACCAGAAAATACACTTCAAATAATATTCGATATGTGTTTGGGACGTATATACATATTCAATGGCATCGAGAGAAAATAAAAGAAGGATATCATTAGTTATAACTAAGAGAAAAGAAAAGAAAAGAAAATGTAGTAATAACCTCTATTCTTGTTTGAATAAATTATGATGAAAAAAAAAAACTTTGAAAAGATAGATAAGAGAAAAGAAAAAAAAAAAAATTATAAGAATTAAATTATTATCATAACTTTTTTATAAATTGTTATAAGATAAGAGTTACATGTTATAAGAAGGTAATTTTGGAATTATAAAAATACAGCTTATTATCTTTTCCCTTCAAATCTTCTCCTTTTTTGAGGATAGCACATGAGAGATTTAGAGGAATTCTCAGTCCTTTCTTTTCTCTTCATTAAATGCTATCCAAACACCATTTTTACAATCCTTTCTTTTCTTTTCTTTTTAAATCCTTCCAAACCACTCAATCCAACATAATAATCACGGTGAATAATCACCTCCAGTTGAATAGGGCAACAATTGCCTCCAATTGAGTAAATGAATGCTAAAAATTATGAAAGGTTAAAAATTTGTATTTTATTTAAATATAGTTTCCATCTATAGATACAGTATATACAACTGGGTCTCTCCCTCTCCTCTCTTTCTCTCTCAATCTTTGACCATCGTCCCTCTCTCTCTCTCTCCTCCCATCTCTATCTATCTTCATTACCTTTTTGCCGCTGTTGCACTGAGAGTTCTCTTTCTCCTCACTTTCCTCCTCTACCATTGCTAAAGAATTTAAAAGGAATTATCTTTGATTTGTTTCCAAAACGAATCACGGATTTATTTCTCAATTCCTTTGTTTCTATAAATATTTTGATTTGTTTCCAAAACGAATCACAGATCTATTTTCCCATTCATTTGTTTTCATAAAATTCCTTCTCTTCCTTCGTATACTTTGAGTCCGTCAAGTATCCTACTACAGCCCCAACCAACCTTCGGGCAAATGAGTCATCTTCCCATCACTCTTCTTGGCTTGCTGGCTTTTACTCGTCTTGCAGGTCTCTTTCCATGAGTTTCCCCCTTTCTTGTTCGCATCTTCCTTTTCTTCCGATGTGGTTGATTTCCCAGGCTCTTGCTTCCTTGGCTTCCGAACAAGGTTTAGTTCAATAACAAAGTCACCCTCCTTTTCTTGATGTACGAGAGTGTCCAGTTAGATAAGCTGGAAGGAGGTTACCTGGGAAGATTCACGGCCGATTTCTATAATAGGTTTAGACTTTTAACTTCCATTCCAACTTAACAGACCAACATTGGAACAAAGCAACATCTGAATTGGCATGGTTTTTTTTGTTTAATTATTTGTGTACTGCATAACATCCCAAACAGTTTGTAATTTAAGTCATTATAAGTTGTACGCAACATCCCAACATAATCTTAAAAGATTATTTGTACATAATTTCTCACACAATTTGTAATTTAAGTCAGTATAAATTGTACGTAACATCCTAACATAATTCTACTGGATGATAGTCATTAACTCTAATACATAACATCCCAATAGTTTGTAATTTAAGTCAGTATAAGTTGTACTTAACATCCCAACATAATCCTATTGGATGATAATCATTCACTTTAATCGGAGAAACACTAAATTGGGAAGAGTAATCAGAAAAGAAGAAACAGACCAAAAATCGAGATTTAGATGAACAATTTCTGCATAATACTCTAGCGAAATTACATGGGTTGTTGTTGGGAAGCTAGTTTTGGAGTGTGTTTGGGTTTTGAAGTGAAGTTTTGAAGTTCAAAAGTTGTTGTGAGTCATTGGAGGGTCCATTAATGGAAGCTTTTAGAGAGAGAAATGAAGACAGTCGTCTCTTCTTTCCCATAGGTGCGTATTTTGGAAATAATACTTAAAGTTAGAATATAACATTTAAAGTTTTTATATATATTTAAAGTTAGAATACAAGGGTGGTGAAAAATTAGTTACCCAATTTTTTTAATTGATGTGGCACTTTCTCAGCCACTTATTTCAATTGGAGGAAATGGATGCACTATGCAAATGGAGATGATCCTGGACCATAATATCACATAGCACATTAATAAGTATCCGTGGGATCTACGGGTGCAATTGGGTCGGGTTAATTAAGGTTTGGGATCTACGGGTGCCATTGGGTCGGGTTAATTAAGGTTTGGGATTAGGGATGGCAATTTGACTCGTCCTGTTTTTGGCGGTTTTGAGGGACCGTTTAGCTTATTTGGGCGGGGATGGTTTGATATAATAAAAACTCGCGAGGGTTTGGTGCGGGGGCAGGGGGAAGTCATCCCGCCCCGTCTCGTTTAGATAGGAAAATTACTTAAATACCCTTATTTTATTAGTATATATATTTTCCATTAGAAACCTTAGTTTTTTTATTTTTATTTTTAGAAACCCTATGAGCATTATTATTTTACTTATTTAACAATATTAAAATAACAAATGAATTTGATTAGAAAGAAAGTTGTAATGGTGAATAACTAAAGATTAGGGGGGAAAAAAGAGCAAATCTATTTTAACAATAAATAAATTATGGTCTTAAACGGGACGGGGCGAGTACCAGCGGGGATAAAAATGTTAAACAGGGGCGGAGATGGGGTGGAAAGTCCCTCCATTTTTGCAGTTTTTGGCGGGGACGGGGTGAAATTTTGAAACGATTATAAGAGTTGGGGAGGGTAAACCCGCCTAAATCCGCCCCGTTTCCATACCTATTTGGGATCTACGGGTGCCATTGCGTCGGGTTAATGCGACAACCCGAAACCAATGAATAATAATCCGAATGCGAACCTCTTCTTCCCAACAAAAAGGTTCTAACAAGCTGAACTGAAGAGAAGTTAACAAACAAACAGGCAATTCTTCTTCTTCCCAACAATCCAAAGGCTCTGCTACTACGTACTACAAATACTCACTGTCTCTGTCAAATGCCACTGTTTCTCCATTGTTCTTGGTGTCACAAATCCACGTGAGTTTTATTCATTCATATTCGTTCATTTATTTTAGCTTATTCAAATTCATTTGTCTTGTTTTTGAGGATTGACAAATAGCTGTTATATCAGACCTCAAGAATTTAATACTAATTGACCAGTAAATGGGTTCAAGTTACTGGTTTTCTTGATTTAGGGTTTTATGTTGAATTATTGCTCATTTCCTTTCTTGGGTTTGAAGTGTTGAATTGTTGCTCATTTCATCCATTCATCTATTTTAGCCTATTGAAATTCATTTGTGCTGTTTTTGGGATTCACAAATAGCTTTTATAAATCAGAACTAAAATAATTTAATATTGATTGACTGGTATGCTGTTGAGAGCGTAAATGGGTTTGGTTTAAGAAAGCTCAAATTACTGTGTTTCTTGATTTAGGGTTTTATGTTGAATTACTACTGTTTTCATTTATTGGGTTTGAAGTGTTCACAACAATTTTTTCAGATTCGTACTTGGTTTTAGGTAAACAAACCAAAAATGATGTTGTTGCTGTACATGGGTTTATCGCCTAATTAGGCCTTTTGTAGTTTCTTGGGTTGAGTTGTGGACTTGAAACAAGCTTACTAAATTTGAAGAGAAAGAGGGAAAAAAAATTAGTTCAACTTGGTGCCATTAAGTATGAGGTCTCAATCAAGGGGCAGGGCTTGAGCTTCTTGTGATCTGCTGTCTGGATTGCCTCTGATGGGTATAGTAGTTAGATAACTTAGGTAGTGTTTGGAGGAGCTTCCTGATGCTAGAAGTCCTTTCACTATAAATAGTTAAATGACTTTTGTATGAAGGAATTTGAGAACAAAAAGCCGATTGGTAAACCTCACTGTTGAGAAGTTCTTTAATATGTAAAAGTGATTTTCCTCACATGATGTGCGTTTGGAAACAGAGAGGTTCTTAATATTAAATAATTACGAATCTTCAATAATGCCCTTGCATAAAGGGTAAGGTTGTTTCACCTATTACATTTCCTAGCTCCAACAATATCTTGGCGACTCACAAGAAAATTCTTAATACCACATTTTTACTTGCTCTGTAACAAATGAAAATAATTTTTCAATTTTAAGCAAACAATGTAAAATCTACAATTAATTAACAATAAATATCTCCTTAAAGCTGCTAATCCCATCATCCACAACAAACTACTCAAGAAAAAAACATATATTCGAGCAGAGCATTCATTTGACATTCAAAGAAACTTGAAAGTAACAATGTAAAAAGAGAGACCGGACAGTGAAATACTGATAGTAGCTGATTCGAATGTCTTATAACCTGTTGATTTACTCTTCTTGTATTTTATTATGGTTTGGCCAATTCCATCTCCCAAGAACACAACAGAGTTCTTCTCCTTATCCACGTGAACTTCTTCATTGTAAATTTTGCGCTGGATGCAAATGGTGTATGTCACTCTACTTGAATTTGGTATTGCAGAAACAGCTTTTGAGATACTGCTATAGTTTCCACTTCCATCCCTTGACACCACAATTATGGTGCTATCACTCCAAATGAAATTTTGATTGGCAAGAAACATAAAGAAACAAAGTAAATTGTGAGCCATGTTGAGGAATGATAAAGCGTGAAGAATGAGCTGCGGTGGTTTCAGAATTAGGGGTGAAATGTGATGGGTTTGGGTTTTGTGTTATGAGCTCAGGGCATGTGGAGTTCACGATGGGTTTGGGTTTGTGGTATGAGCACAGCCAACAAGGAGGAAAACCCCCAAATACAGACTTTTATTAAACAGCCAAAACCGCAGCCAACAAAGAGGAAAACCCCCAAATACATATTACAAACCAACGATTTGGTGAACTCCACCTGCCCTAAGCTCATATCACATTTCGCCCCAGATTCTGAAACCACCACACATCATTCTTCAACATGGCTCCCAATTTACTTTGTTTCTTTTTATTTCTTGCCATTTTAATTTTCATTTGGAGTGATAGCACCACAATTGTGGTGTCAAAGGATGGAAGTGGAAGCTATAGCAGTATCTCAGAAGTTGTTTCTGCAATACCAAATTCAAGTAGAGTGACATACACTATTTACATCCAGCGCGAAATTTACAATGAAGCAGTTCACATGGGTAAGGAGAAGAACTCTGTTGTGTTCTTGGGAGATGGAATTGGCCAAACCATAATAAAATATAACAAGAGTAAATCCACAGGTTATAAGACATTCGAATTAACCACCGTTAGTATGTCGCTGTCTGATCTCTCTTTTAACATTTTTCCTTTCAAGTTTCTTTTGATGTCAAATGAATGCTCTGGTCGAATAAATGTTTTTTTCTTGCTTTAGTTTGTCGTTAACATGCACATATTAGTTTGTTGTTGATGATGGGAATGACATTAGTAGCTTTGAGGAGATGTTTCATGTAAATTAGTTGCTTATTTTACTTTATTTGGCTTCACTCTCTTTTATGACTTCAAATTGAAAAATTATTTGTATTTTTTTTTTTTTTTTGATAAGTAAAATTATTTGTATTTTTGACAGTGCAAGTATAAATGTGGTATTATGAATTTTCTTGTGAGTCATCAAGATATTGCTGGAGTTAGGAAATATAACAGGTGAAGGACCCTTATCCTTTATGTAAGGGTGTTATTGTAAATTTGTTATTATTTAATATTAAAAGAACTTAAGTCATTTTATCTCCAAATGCACCTCATGTCAGTAAAATCACTTTTACATACTTAAGGACTTCTCAACGGTGAGGTTTACCAAACGGCTTTTTGTTCTCAAATTCCTTCATACAAAAGTCATTCTTGTAAGCTATTTATAGTGAAAGGACTTTTAACATCAGGAAAGTCCTCCACACACTGCCTTAATTCTTTTGAATTTGTTCAAACTGATGAGAGAGAGAGAGAGAGGCTACAATCTGTATATCGTATATCTCACTCAACCCTAAGCCAACAAAGGCTTATATAAAGATACAGGAATGGGCAAATTACATAATGACCTTACCAACTATGTGTAATTACATAATGACCCAACATAAATATATATATTTATACACACACACACACACACACACACACATAAACATTCTAACACTCCCCTTCAAGTTGGAGAATATATATCAAATAATTCCAGATTGGAACAAATAGTCCTTAACCGGTTATGACCCGGTAAACATATCATCTAATTGATCTTCAGACTTCACAAAAGGAGTAGAGATGCTCCGACTTAATATTTTTTATCGAATGAAGTGACAATCAACTTCAATATGTTTTGTCCTCTCATGAAACACAGGATTTGATGTAATGTGAACAGCTACTTGATTACCACAGAACAATGGAATAGGAGTTTCAACTGTCAACCCAAGTTCTTTTAGAAAATGTTGTATCCATGTCAACTCACTAGTGGTAAGGGCCATTGCCCTGTACTCAGCTTCAGCACTAGATCGAGCTACCACCGTTTGCTTTTTACTTCTCCACGTAACAAGATTTCCTCCTCCAAATGTGCAGTAGCCTGTAGATCTCCTATTTGAAGGAGAACCAGCCAAGTCAGCATTTGTAAAACCTTCCACTCTGAGATGACCATTTGATTTATATAGTAACCCAAAACCTAGAGCTTGCTTGAGATATCGGATAATCCGAAAAACAACAATCCAATATGGCATTCTAGGAGCTCCAATGAACTGAATTATAACACTAACTGCATATGAAATATTAGGCCGAGTGATAGTGAGATAAATTAATTTCCCAACAAGGCGACGAAATCTGCCCGGGTTATTAAATAGATCACCCTCATCAGACACAAGTTTTGTATTTGAATCCATAGGAGCATCAACCGGGCAACCACCTAACATACCCGTTTCTTCTAATAAGTCCAACACATATTTTCGTTGAGATAAACTTATACTCTCTTTGGATCTAGCAACTTCAATACCCAAGAAATACATAAGTTTACCAAAGTCTTTAGTGTGGAATCGATTTTGTAGAAACAACTCCAACTTTGCAATACCTTCAGAATCATCACATGTGATCACAATATCATCTACATACACCACGAGAAAAATGAAGCCAGCTTTAGTGCGCTGGTGAAATACCGAATGATCAGTCCAGCATCTGCTAAGACCAAATTCTAATGCTGCCTCAGAGAATTTTCCAAACCAAGCCCGTGGAGATTGTTTCAATCCATACAGGGCCTTTTTAAGGTGACAAACAGTGTAACGATACTCCCCCTGAGGAACAAACCCAGGTGGTTGCTCCATATAAACTTTTTCAACCAAGTCACCATGTAAGAAAGCATTTCTGACATCCAATTGAAACAACAACCAGTTACAATTGGCAACAATGGAAATAAGTTCCCAAATAGAAGAAATCTTAGCAATAGGGGAAAAAGTCTCATCATAATCAACACCATAAGTCTGAGTGTACCCTTTTGCCACTAGACGAGCCTTCAATTGCTCAATAGACCCATCGTGAAGGTATTTAACAGTGTAGACCCACTTACAACCAACCGTTTTGGAGCCCGGAGGTAAGGGAACAAGATCCCATGTCCGATTACGGTGGAGGGCATCCATTTCATCTACCATGGCTTGGCGCCAATCCGAATTAGAGAGAGCATCCTGCAAAGTCTTGGTAACAAAAGTAGCAGACATTTTGGATAAAAAAACAAGATAAAGAGGATGAAACATTACGGTAGGAGACAAAGTTAGAAATGGGATGTGCAGTAACACACGAACGAGAACCTTACGGAGAGCAATAGGCAAATCATCAGGCATAGTAGATGGCGTCGGATCCGAAGACTCTGAAGGAGATGGAAGGAGCAAAGTAGGTGGTCGAGGTCGTCGAGTATAAACTTGCAATGGGACAACGGAGCGAGGAGTTGCGGGAGCAGGGAATAGAGAGGGAACAGTTGGCATAGGTGGCTCAGGAGTAATATTGAGAGGAGAAGTAGAATCAGAAAAATATGGGAGAGACTCAGAAAATGAGACATCGGCACTAGTGAAATAACGTTGAAAATGAGGACTATAGCAACGATAACCCTTCTGAGTGCGAGAATAACCAAGAAAAACACACTTAGTGGTTTGAGGGTCGAGTTTGTCAAGACCGGGTCTAAGGTTATGGACATAACACAAACATCCAAAGACCCGAGGAGTAAGATTAAACGATGCGGAGTTGGGAAATAGAACAAAATGAGGAGATTTCCCTTGTAACACCGACAAGGGCATCCGATTAATAAGATGACAGGCTGTAAGAATAGCATCACTCCAAAAACGTTTGGGAACATGCTTATGAAATAAAAGGGCACGACATACTTCCAGGAGATGACGATTTTTACGTTCAGCTACTCCGTTTTGTTGAGGAGTATAAGTATAAGATGATTGATGAATGATGCCTTTAGCATGAAAATAAGTCTCAAGAGGGTCTGAGAAATATTCTTTAGCATTGTCAGAACGTAAAACTTTAATGGAATACCCAAATTGAGTTTTTATTTCTTTGTGAAATATTTGAAAAATAGAGAATAACTTGGAACGATTTTTCATTAAAACCAACCAAGTCATATGAGAATGATCGTCCACAAATGTCACAAAAGAACGAAATCCATTAATTGAAATATGTTTTATTGGTCCCCATACATCTGAATGAACTAACTAAAAAGGACTAGCAACACGATTAGTAGCTCTCGGTTTGAAAGATACACGATAATGCTTACTAAGCTGACATGCTTTACAAGAAATGGACTCAACACGACTAAGACTGGGGACTTGACGCTGCAAAACTGATAATGATGGGTGGCCCATACGACAGTGCCACTGGAAAGAAGACAAAGATGATTGAAGAGCCGTGGGAGATGGTGCAAGATCAAAGTAATACAAGCCACCTACTTCATGTCCCGTACCAATCTTCTTCTTCATCCTGAGATCCTGAAAAATATAACATGTGGGATAAAATGTAACGGAGCAGTTAAGAGATTTAGTAATTTTACTAATAGACATCAAATTAAACGGGAATTGAGGAACGTATAATACAAAGGAGAAGGACATAGAATAGGTGAGATGATTGGTTCCTAAACCCAAAACTTTAGTTAATGAGCCATTAGCAAGAGTAACACGTTGAGAGGAAGGAACAGACTGAATATCAGATAAGAGATGAGAACTACCAGTCATGTGATCGGATGCGCCAGAGTTAAGAATCCAGGGACTTTGACGAGAGGACAAGAGACATGCAGGTGCACTACCTGATTGGGCAAAGGAAACCATAGAAGATGAGGTGGAAGGCCGTTGTTGAGGCATAAGCTGAGCATACTCATCGTGGGGAATCGTGACCATGGCAGGCTCAATAGCCACATGTGGAGCAGTTAGTGTGGCGAGAAAAAGAATCCCTTTCATTAGAGGTCATGTGATGTGCATAGGAAGAAAGTAGTGGTTTCCCATGAAGATCCCAACAGTAATTGACAGTGTAATTAGTAAGACAGCAGTGAGTACAGAGTTTCGAGTTTTTGCCTCTGCCACGACCACGGGTAAAACGACCGCCATCGCCAAGAGAAGAATGAAAGCCACCCTGGTTGACAACTAAGGCCGAACGTTCACTGCTAGGAGGAGTAGTGACAACACTTGAAGCACCCCCTGACCACTAAGTAGCACGCTAGAGTCTGGATAATATATCAGGAAGAGAGGGAAGTGCAGGGCTACCCAAAATCTGTGCTCGAACAGGTTCATACTCTGGTGACAACCCTGTGAGAACACGAACATTAAAATCCTCACGTTGTTGTTGCATGCTCTTCACATCAGAGGTGATGGGCTGATACAAGTCCATTTCTTCCCAAATTCCCATTACCCATGAGGAGTATTCTTCTAGACTGTGAGTACCTTGCTGGAGGTCAAAAAATTGTCTGCACACCTCATAAATTCTGGTGATATTCCCAGTACCTGAATATAACTGTTGGAGTCAGTTCCATATCTCCGTGGCAGTGTCCAAATACAAGAAGTTAGAGCTAATATGGGGTTTAATACAATTCAGCATTAAATAAATGATCTGAGCATCCCTTTATTCCCATGAACTGAAATCAATATCCACTGTCTTTAGGTTTATCCTTAACCAAATGAGTGCCAAAGCCTTTGGCTTTCAGGAAAATTGCTACTGACTTGGCCCATAAAACGTAATTTTTGCCATTGAGCTTTACTGAAGTCATTTGAGGATTGAAGGATGCGGAAGATAACAGTTCTGAACTGGTAGCCATGGAGAAGAGAACAAAAAAAAATATCGAACCTGGAAAAAAAAATTGCTGAATCTGTATTTGGGCCGAATCTGGGCAAACGGGTCGAATCAGAACCGGATCTATGCAACTTTGGTTTTAGTAAACCAGGGTTGGAATAGCATAACCGCATAGCCAAATACGGTTGTTCTTCTTTACAACCTCAGAGATGCTGGCAACACGTAGCGGTAGCGATGGCAATCCAATCACAAGCAGCGGCCGAATCAACAAACAGCGACACCATACCGAATCAGAACCTCTGTAACTTCCGGCCAAAAGTAAACACGAATCGATGAAGCCTCACCTCTGCAAATAATGACGGTAGAAGGTGGCGAGCTCGCCGACAGCCAAAGTGGCAACAATACGAGCAACCAAACAGGCTTCAGATCTGAGGATGACGAACGCGGAGCTCTGAACAGACCGGCGACCAAACTTTCGGCAACGAACAGGTTTGACCTCAATCGCAATTCCGATCTATACAAGAACAACACAATTGCAGTTTTCCCACACTCAAGATTTCGTATTGCTCTGATACCATGTTCAAACTGATGAGAGAGAGAGAGAGAGAGAGAGAGAGGCTACAATCTGTATATCGCATATCTCACTCAACACTAAGCCAACAGAGGCTTATATAAAGATACAGGAATGGGCAAATTACATAATACCAACTATGTGTAATTACATAATGACCCAACATAAATACACACACACACACACACACATAAACATTCTAACAGAATTCAATAGCTTAAACAATGTTTTTAAAGGAAAAATTGTCATCTTTTTTACACATCAGAGCAGAATAACTGGCAGAAGAATTAACATGAAAAGTCGAGTAGGAGAGGAAAGGAAGTAATGTTGAGCTCATACTAGTCCAAATCAGGAATCAAATGGCCTAAATTGGTTGCTAAAGTGATTGATTAGTTCAATCATTGCAAATTCAAAATGAGAAGAATTTTTTTGACATAATTGTCCTAACTATCACATTTAAGTGGGTCTTGGTTTTCATTTTATAATATTAATTGGGCTTGAAGTCATAACCTACGAAGAAGGAACACAAGAATAACACCCTATTGGGATGTAATCAGATCAATAGAATTGGGATCCATGATTTTCGCAATCCCACAGGGATTCCACTAGGATTAGATTTTTTTGTGAGATTGGGGTCAATTCAATATTTTTCGGTCGTAGGGTCATAAGATTGTAAGATACGGATTGGGATTCCTACAAACATGGAACATATCTTACTGGCTAAATTAGCTAGCATCTTTAGTTGTGGAAGATTTTTATGATGGAAAGGTTGTTTGCCCATTTATATACCATTGCTAACTGCTCTTGGACCTCTTGGTACCTAGAAATTCCTGATTCTTGAATCTTTCGCTGATGTGATGTGTAGAACCAGTTGTAAATCTCATATCTGTCAGTTGAGCTATTAAGTTTATACATTCTCTAGTTCATATTTCTTTTTTCAGTTCATGTCCTGTAGAATGGGAGTGATCATGCTGCAGTCCTCTTTGCTCGTGAAGGAGAATGAAAGCTCTGAAAGATCATGGACCATCTTCAAAAGTTCTCATACGATCCTGAACTCGAACAGCAAGCCAAGTTTCAGTCGACAAAATTCAAAGTTTGGCATTAACAGTGCACCTTTTTCTAGAACGAGGTAGATTTTGAACTTTTCTAGCATCTATATTGTCTGAAAACCTTCTTGTGTATATGGATTGTGGACCTTTGATCTTGATGAAGTTCTCTTTAATGATTGTTTCTGGAAAAATGCAATATTGCCTTAATTCAGATTCTGTTTTCAATTCTTCTTAATTATTTGAATTTTTCTCTTAGATTTTTTGTTGGATATGGTTATTGTTACTTGATTGTAACTTTTTCATGATATTTTCCAATTCCATATTTTTTCAGGTAAAAAATAGTTCTCAATCCCGAATTGATGACTATCTTTTTCATATCGTTGTTCAGTAGCTCCGTCTCACAAACTTTTCTATTGTTGTGAGTGATATATCGTAATGGGAAAATGGATGGAAAAAGGTTGTGCTCGTGTTGTCTAACACTGAAAAATAACATGTTTGTTTATGCAACTGTTAATGAAGCAGAATGAGACATGAATAAATTTGTAAGCAGTTTTTGGGACCAAATGGATCTTCTTTTGCTGTTTCATTTGTGTCATTTTTGAACGTTTTATACACGTGTTTAAGCATAATGGAAGAAAATTTTCTAGCTGGTTTTGGATAAACCTTTTACATGACTGAGTAAATGAAAATTGAGGGCCTATTTGGAATTTAGATTTTTATTTTTTATTTTTTTCAGAAAGTTGGAAGATGCTGAATTTATATTTCATTTGGTGTTTTTGAATACTACATTTAAAAATTCTTGAAAAACAGTCCATTTCTGAAAATAAAAAACTGCACTTGCAAGAGCTGGGATTCATTAAAACTGAAAATTGCATGGAAACAACTGCATTACGGAAATTCATCCTTTTCCTAGTTTGAATTTTCGGAAGCAAAAACTGTAAATATAAGTGAGTTTTTGTGAAACCATACAAGCTACACTCAATGAAATCAAACTATGGGCATCATAATAACTCAGCAGATAAAGCTAGCTCTCTCCCTCTCTCTCTCTCTCTCTCACACACACACACACACACAGACACGCAGTGGGAAGTTTAAGCTGACATTGTTGGGCAGGTCCTTTCATCAAACATTGTGTAGGGAAAAAAATCTTGAGTTATTCTCCAAGTTCCTAAAATTTTCCCCATTTTTGGCTCAACTAATGGAACTTGATTTATCATGTGTTTCTTATACTTCCGGCAATATTTTCCAATATTTTGCATATTGTGTATGAATCACCCTATGAGTTTCATCATACCTGAAAAGCATCTTAATTTATATGAAATGTTTGTTAAAGTTTTTAAAATTATCTAGGAAATGGAATGATGACACATGTTCCATTGTTTGTTGATATGTTTACCTTACCTTTGAGGAGGGAGCTCTATTGCCTTCTTCCATCAGAGGTATCATGCAATCAAAATGGGGCTTCATTCTATAGAAATTAGCCAGATCTACTTGAACTTTATTGGTTTTAATGTTTTCTGTATCTCTCTAACCAAAATGGATTTGCTTAGGTTTTATGCCCTCCTTTGTCTTGTACCTTTTTCCACGTTAATCAATGAACTAGAAGAGGTCCATCCCAAACAGATGCCACAGGCACAAGGTGCTGCACCCACCAAAAGCAAAAAATGCTGTCTTCTCAAAAACTATAGACTCTGATGGATTATTAGTCCAAGAGTTCTTCCTATTACTAACACTGCATTTGGTATGACAGAAGGAAAGGGGAGGGAAGGAAGAGAGGAGGGGTGGAGTAAATCTCCATTGTTTGGTATGAGGGAGAGTTGGAGGGAATGGAATGATGGATGGATGAGGTTCTCTCCTGGCACATCATTTTTCATCCCCCTAAATTAGACTGAAGAGAGGAGGGAAGAGAAGGATAAGTATTATATACTATATAAAATGGCATTATTACCCTTTGTCAATTTTTATCAAATCATATAATGAGGATATAATGGTAAAAAACATATATTAAAAAAACTTCTACTTCTCTCCCCTCTTACAAAACATAAAAGATGTCATATCTTTCTATCCACTTCCATTCTCAAACACAAAAGGGGTAATGATACCTTCCCTTCATGTTTCATCCATACAACATATGTGATCTATGTAAGAGGCAATTGACTTATCCAATTCTACACATGATTACCTGAAAGATGTTAAATGTTGTATTCGGAGAGGTCTCTGCCAATGTCAAGCACTTAATTAGTCTGAATGCTGCTTATGCCCTTTTGAACATGCCTTTGGTGTTTGTATCTTGAAACAGTTTTCATACAAGACGACAAAGTTGGAAAATAGCTTTTGCTTTAGACACAGGAGGAATTCCAAGCAGTGGTGACCAAGACAGCCTCAATGGTGACAGCCCTGGTCTAGGCCAGACTCGATTGAGCAGGATAGCAAGTGCAGCTGGCAGACAGCTATTGGATAAATTAAATTCGGCTAGAAAGAACCTCCCCATGAAGATATTTCTCCTCCTCCTGGGTTTCTACACGGCAAATGCACTGGCTACAATTCTCGGGCAGACTGGTGACTGGGACGTACTGATTGCAGGTATTGTGGTTGCTGCCATTGAGGGGATTGGTATGCTAATGTATAAAAAGCCCCCCACTCTATCAACTCGGAGGTTGCAGTCTTTGGTAGTGATGATAAATTACTGGAAAGCCGGTGTTTGCCTAGGCCTCTTCGTGGATGCTTTCAAATTAGGTAGTTGACTTTGTTCTCTCAATCTAATAATCTGTAGTTGTTCCTTAATGTTTCTGTCTACTTCTTTCCCATTGTAGCATTATTCATATCCAGGTTACATTAAGGACATGCAGATGTATGTATGACAATCACTTCCATATATATATTGTTTTGCGTCGCCTTCAACCATTGTGCTAGATATTGAAAGGTCTACAGAAACACCAGAAGTGATCTATCGTGCTAGCACAAAAGGTTGAGCAAACACTTTGCTGCTTGGCCTAATCATTCCCCAGCAAGAAAGGAGTGTGAAGCTTTAGCTTATGGCTATGCTTCAGCATTACAGAAACCTTATTATCTGGCCAAATGAAGGATTGAGGAACATGCAAATGAATGGCTTGTGTTCTGCAAATCCTCGCTGGGGTTCACAGTGATGGCTTATCGAAATGGGCCCACAAACATCGCTCTGGGTGGCAGTCCAGAGTAGCTTTCCTGTTTGGTTGGTGATTGGAACCCTAACTTCTTTATGAGTTGTTCCTAAGGGGTGAAAATTATGCATCCCACATGGCACAACATTTTTTTATTTTTTCTGCATTTTCTAAAAAATCCTCAATGTACTATTGTTAATTATTCGATTATACAATTTCCTGTTATATTAAAAAAAAAAAAAAAAAAAAAAAAAAAAAAAAAAAAAAAAAATTATCTTTTTTTCTTTATTATTTTTTCCGGAAAACCATGTCTATTCCTGTTGTAATGAATCTTGGCTGTGGGGAACTTTGTCCGAAGACAGACACTGCTTAGGGCTCAACTAATGGGCCAGTTATTGGGCCGATCGCCGTTGGTCTACCTCACTGAAAGGCCCATGTTGCTTGTGTAAAATGGGTTGGATATCAATTGCTTTCTTCGTGTCATCATAGGCCCACTTTATGAGCCTACTTAATATTTCTAGTAATAAATTAAGGATAATGCTTAGCTACTCACTCCTTGTGTGTTCCAATAACAAAATAACATATTTGCTTTAATAACCAAATAATTCACGTTTTCCTATATTTTCTCGGATCAACTATTGAATAAACGTAATGGATTTTTTTGTTTAAGCTGATGTGGTATTTTATTATTGAAACACACAAGAGGTGAGTAAGGTGAAACTACTCATTGGTGAGTAGCTAAGTATTATCCATAAATTAAAACATCACCACATCACAAAGCAGTCACACATCAAATCTAATTTTGTTCTTTAAATGATTTCTATGGATGCCCACTAAATTAAATTAAAACCAAACAGCAAAGATAAATAGGATAAAATGTAAAAAATAAAAAAAATAAAAAAAATAAAAAATAAGAAGGCAATATTTTGATTACACACACTCATGTACCTGAGCTCCTCTTTAGAAAGGAAGATTTGTACCAGTTAGGCTATTGCTCATTTGGTCATACCATGCATACTAATGTACCTAACAAAACTAATTGAAATTTGCTGAGATTATTACATGGTTATTTTGTGTACCACATTTGGAGAGAGAGAAGAAAACTCCACAAAATTCACAAATGAATATATATGTCATGTCTCAATTATAGACACTATTGTGAATTATATTTGACAAAAATATTTCCAACTGACATTAACAAGCACTCATAGAGCACCTCTAGTCTGTTTCCTATTGCCCATTACAAACATTATTGTGAACTCTATTACCTCTTCACGTTTTCATGCATTGTAATGATTTTAAAGCTTTCCCACATGTTGGATAGGTTAGCATATTGGGTTGCTCCTAAATATTCATGCTCACTAGTGGCACAGGATGTCCCATGTCACCACAACTTCATATTAATTACGCAGTAATTTTACTTCAGTAACGTAACAACTTCAGATCGTTCATACAATAATTACCTTAGATCACTTACACAACAACTCTACATCACATGTTGCGTACGTGTCATTGGGCATTCTAACTCACAATTGCCCAATATGGAGACTTGAGAATCACAATGTACGGGACATTCTAACTCACATTTTCCCAATCTTTAACTTTCAGTCTAAAAGTAGAAGAAATACCACTAAATGATATACATTCTCCAACTGCATAGATTAATTATTGCTCCAGTGCTTCAAATTCATCAAATGCAGTTGACAAAACCCAAAAAGAAAAAAAATTTGAAAACCCCATTCTTTGTATTATCACTATGTTATTCAAAATTACAAAGCTTGGCCCGAGGATCTATCAAAATCCATAGTTCCCAAAACTCATAGCAAGATACTAAGCTCTCGCTTGCTATATTTTCCTGAACTTCAGTTAGATCCTAACAAAATTTCCATTCATCAACTGCCCAACAAAAAAAAAGTCCCTATTTTACTTGGTTCAATTAGTTATAAATCAAGAAAGGAAAGCGAAAAAAAAAGAAGCAAAATTAGGAAGTGATCAGTTATGTATACAACCCCTTTTCATTCCCATACCCCTCCACTCTGCCAGAGTCCTATGTATCATTCCACACAGTGAATGTTGGAGCTCCATGACAAACTGCCATGTTGCTAGTCCTTGGCGCTATAGTTGGAATTGCGGTAGGCACCCAATTGTTGCACGTCGAGCTCTGATCATACAGGCCGGCCTTCACAGCGCCACCAGACGATGATTGCTGCGAAAGATAGTACAAGTTCCTCGCTTGATAAGAATCCGACGAACCAAACATGTTTTGGTCATGATTTTCCACAAAACCATTCACCTCATTGCTAGTGCCTTCATGAGCAACAACTGTACTAATTGGCATTACATAGCCCCCATTAGTCCCGTATCCAAAACTACCATTTCCATTCCCATTTCCACTTCCGTCCACGCCTCCACTGCTGTAGATGACAGAGTTGGAGGCCGAGCTATGCTCCAACGACGAAGAGTCCAAGCTCATGAGGTTGTGCATCACAGAGGGCTGAAAGAAGTTGTGAGTGCCACTTCCCAATTGGAGCTGATGGATGTCTTGGAAATTAACATCTTGTTCTTGCTTGCACCACACCCTTTGTTGACCATAAGGGTAGTGTTGTTGCACGCTAAATGTCTGAGGTGGTTGTTGGAATGCAATTGTGGGCCAACCGGGGTGAGAGCTGCCATAGTTGTTGATTCCATCAGTGAGGTGTGAAGCTATTAGGTTGTCGTGATCGGTTGCCCTACGTGTGTCCATGGCCGTCATCTCTGCAGCCTGTTCGGCATCTTTCAGACGCTTTGCAGCTCCTCCTATTGGTAATGTGCTGCTCTCCAGTATGCTGTTGACATCATATCTGCTCATGTCGAAGTTTGTCACTGCATTCAGTCCTCGGAACTTGATTGCAGCGATGTCATAGGCCTCGGCTGCCTCCTCTTGAGTGCCTATATTAGAAGAAAACAAGAGGAAGCTTAGAGCATAATGATTATGAACTCCATATGAAAATGTAAATTTCCCATTCTTATTTGTCTGACCTTAATTAATTTCCATTTAGTTATATATTTTCAACACTAATTACTTACTGAAAGTTCCCAAGTAAAGATCTTTGTTCCCTGCAACTCTTCCAATCCTAGCTTGCCATCTTCCATGCTGGTGGTGTCTGTAATCAATCCGAATAATGAAGCAAATTAATTAAGAATTTGTAACAAAAATGTCATAATTTATGATATATATATACTTTGTTAATGATCATGGCAATGGTAAGAAAATATCAAAAGAAAAGAACCAGTCATTAATTTCTTTTTTAATTGTCACTCAGGCATCTGAATACTACTGGTCATAAACCTTCTAAAATGTAAAATACAAAGTTCAATGTTTTAGATCAAAATCATTACAGAAACTTATTTAATTATCTCTCTTTTTTCCTTCATCACTTTACAAACCTTTTTATTTTCTTTTTTAATTGTCACTCAGACATCTGAATAGTACTGGTCATAAACCTTCTGAAATGTAAACTACAATGTTATATTAGTGAAACAAACAAACTCCCTCCTTCAATTTATACACTTAACATTTACCTTTCAAGAAGGAAAAAAAATTCTCCTTCAACTGAAGTAGGTAATTCGAGGCCTCAGACCTTCAATACATCACATAAATAGTCACTGCACATTCTGCTGCCAACAATATTCCTACAAGTATACTTTAAAAAAAAAAAAACAATATACCTACAAGTATAATGATTTGGAGTCTGAAAGTCGGACTGCACATACTGCTGCCAACAATTAATATTCCTAGCTACAAGTATAATGATTTGGAGTTTGAAAGTCGGACAAGTCCGACTAATTTATGTGAGTGAGAGCTAACATCATCATGATACCATTAATATTCACGATGTCATAATGACATCAGCTCTTACTCACATAAAATTATTCGGATTTGTCCAATTGTCGACTCCCTATCATTATTCTTCCTGCAATTAGTGTCTCACGTTACTGATATTTCTCCCTGTCCAGCAACTAATGCAGCAAAAATGCTTCTACAGAGCAAATATGGTGCAATTCTCAATTTTGGCTACCTCAACCATAAGCTCAAAACAACCATCCAACTGTTTAGAATTAGCACTCTTAAATTAACCTATGCTTTCATAATAAATGTCCTTGAATGAAAAAACATTCTCAGTTGTTCCAATAACATCGCCCCGGTAACCCTAATTCCAGTTTGGGGGTGGGTGGAAGGGATGAGGAGGACAAATGCTACAAGATTAGTGCTGAAATAGCGTAGTTTTTTTACCTTGTCACGCCCCGGTATATTGATGCACCGCGAGAGAACCCACTGCTCTTCCTGCAACAACCAAATAATGTAAATTATCGTTGTCTTCATGCATTTATTGACTACTAATTTAGAGTATATATCATGATAAAATTTAAGAGAATTTAAGTGTACCTTCTGAGAGATGCAACATATTCTTGTCTTGTCATGTGCTTCATTTCTTCCACCTCTTTCTCATAGTTACCAATCTGAAAGGTTCAATTGAAAAGGAAAAAAAAAACAAACCAAAAATTAAATCCAAAAATTAAATCCAATCATAGTTGTACATAAAATGTCTATATAGAATAGATTTAATTTACACAATATATAATGAGCACATGCACATTGATATATAAAATACCCTCAAAGACTGTAAAGGTTATTTAATTTAGATCTATTTTTATTCATTCTGAGAGTGATACAAAGTGAGAGGCTTACAGGAAAATTTGTAGTGGTCGTGGTTCCCCAGTATTTCAGTGCTGCCAAATCATAAGCCCTAGCTGCCTTGTCTTCTTTATCATATCCTCCTATATATACATGAGAGAAAATAGATGAGAAACACCAAGAAAATTTTTGGTCTGTAGAACCTTAAAATTCCCATTAAAGGAAAAGAGAAGAAAGTAAAAGAAAAGGTAAAAAAAACATTTAATCAAAAAAAGGATACTTTTTCATGACTTACCCAAATAAACTGCAACAAGGTTGAATAAGTTCCACACCAAATCAGAAGAAAACCCAAAAAAGGAAATCCCAAGTTAGTACAAAAAAATGGAGTAAATTTCTTGATTTGCCTATTTGAAAAAATAAAAACACACACATACACACAGTTGGAAATACAAGTGCACACACTAAACCATACCTTGCCTTCCTTTCCTAGTCTGTCCTTCTCGTCTGCAACTGTTATCCCACAGATGAGCCTCATATCTACCAGTCCATCTATGCCTGTATCAAAAGATCAAAATCATCATAAAACAGTTAAACAAACATAACACACACAAAAAAATAAAACAAAAAATAAAAATAAAAATAAAAATAAAATTGCACACACACACACACATATATATAGATACAGTTTTAAGTACTTATTACAAGTGATCAAAAGAAGTTTATATCTAAAGAAACCTTGTAACACCACGGTAGATAGAAGTTCTCTGTCCAAATGTATCAATAGACTTGCGAGGCACAGACTCTAGAGCACCGCCACTTTGTCCCTCCACTGCGGCCGCCGCCACAGCCACCACCGCCTTAGGCTGCTTATTATCAGACGAGGAACTCTCTCCTCCACCACCACTGCCACTCATCGAAAGCGACAGAGTCTGGCCGCCAGTACTCGTTAGGGTTGCGTTAGTCCCTCTGGTACTGGCCACGCCGCCATCGCTCTTGCCTTCGGGCTGGTTCCTCAGCCAGTTCTTGATCATAGAAAGGCCAATGGAGCTACCATTCACGCCACCCGAGCCATGATCAGTTGGTCGAACACCACCGGCTTTCGGCTCCGAAGAAGGAAGCTCCAGTGAGCAGTTGGAGTACAAGTAATCTCCAGATTCACCATTGTTGTAAGCTGAGCTATTAATGGAGTTGGAGTTGCACCCACCAAGCTTGTGATCTTGCTGATCAGCCAAACAGTGCCCTCCACCTAGAAAGTTTTCAAGCTTTGGACCTGCTTGGGTTTCCATGTTCTGACTAGTACATGAACTACCCATTATCATAGACAGCTCTGAGGTGCTGCTTTTATAGTTAGACTCCGAGTTCATACTCATATCCTTCATATTCCAATCTGCAAAAAGCATCAAAATGTAAAATTAGACAAAAGAATAAAAACAAGTACATATACATATGCGTATACATATACATATATATGTATTTATATATAAGCTGAACGCATTAGCTGTGCGCTCTCAGGTTGAAGTGTTGAACAGTAAGGGTCAAAGAAGCGCAATCACTCATTCTAAAAATCAGTGTTCTGAAGAATCTTTTTAATTGTTCAATCACTCATTCTTAAAACCAGCGTTATTGAGACGAAAGAGTAGGATGGGAAAGGGAAAAAGATCTTGTATATATGTATATATCATGATTCATCACGTTATATCGTGTATCGGCCGATACGCAACTTGATAATCTGTATTATTCAGTTTACATTCACTTTGTTCGAGTTCATTATATCACAACCGATACTACGACCGAAGGATGGACGATGGTATATATATATATGCGTGTGGTTTTATATATTTTTAGGGTTTTTTAGAAGAAGTTTAATATGCAAAGTAATGATTATGTATGTGTGTGTGTGAGAGAGAGAGAGAGATACGAGAAGAGATGTGGGTGTAACAAACCTTGTGAGTGATTGTTTCTGTTGAAGGCTTCTAGTATGCCAAAAGGGGGTGGGAGGTTGAGAGAGGGGATGGTGGAGTCAGAAGAGAGATCAAAGCATTCATGAGCTGAGACATGATGATGGGTGGTGGAGATTTCATCAGAGTTGAAACCAAGGGGAGAGACTGAGGGTTGGGAGTGATCTTCATGAGATGGGAGTTGTTGAGGGGAGAGAGAGAACCCCAACCAGTTGTTCATGGGAGACATGGAAGAAGCTATCTAGGGCTAGTAGTTGTACGTGAAGGAGATTTTGGTGCTATAGATGTTTTTCAAAGGGAGAAAAAGGAATTAGTTCATGCATGTAGAGAGAGAGAATAAGCCAGGGATTGAAGGGAGAAGGAAGAAGAAGAGGAAAGGTCTAAACAATGAAGGGAAATCATTTCTTTCAAGGCAAAAAGAAGATTTATACTATATATGGAGTAGTACATGAACTCTCTCTCTCTCTACCTCTTTCTCTCTCCTCCTGGTCATAGTGGGTGCCCTTCTAATTCATGGCTAGTCATAAGTCATAACTCTGATCCCAAAAACCCTTCGATTTTTGTATGTATGAGAATAGCAGATACTAGGCTGATGAGGGGTGGAGTTGTCTTTTTGCAAGGAAATAAATAAATTATTGATACTATGAATTATGAAGCACCCAAATGTATTTAAAAGGAAGACTATACACGTACACATGTATAAGATCTAAATATACTATTCCTCAGAAACAATCAAGTCCTCCTTCACACTTGCATAAAATCTAAATTAATTATGTACCACGCACCTTATAATTTATAAAAAGATGCACAAGGGACAGTAAGATTATGAATATGTAGCAAGTTGTACAATACTATAGAGATATTTCAAAACCATTTGAATACGCAAGTAGCAAGTTGAGCTTATCTTCATTCTTACTTTTGATGATTAAATATGTTAGTTTTATACATGTATACATATATATATATATCTGCACACACTAATTAATCAAAATGATATATTTTTTTTAAAAAGAAAATCAACTCAGTCTCTAATTATTTTAGACTAGTTGTCGATAGTTTGAAAATTTTATAATCGCCCATAAATTACATATTTAAATCTATATTCATTTCATTTCACACACTTTGTTGTAACTTTAAATTAATTCTTCAATAATTTACAAATTTTATATATATACAATTATTCCTAAATTACATGCATCATTTATAACTCATTATTATGAAATATGATTAAAGAGAGTCAAATGTATATCCGTAAAGAGATTGTTTCTGGCTTCAAAGAACTGAACCTTCGTTGTGTGTCACTTGAAGCTTTCCAAAACAATCTGAAATCTTCTTCATTTTTTTTACTACCTTAAATGTTAATTGACTAATCAAACTCTTATGTATTATTGGAATGAGAGTGACAATTTCTCTCAATCTTCTCTTTCTTTGCTGTAGAACACCTGCAGAAGATGACATCTGACAAGTTGTGACAAAAAACCCACACGCAGCCCCTCTCCACACCCATTTATTCAATGCCGCACAGTTGGACACAAGTCATTTCACTGTCACATATCTGCTCCTGCCACACCTCTAACCAACTCCCTTTTCATTTCATTTCATTTCCCCTCTCTCTCTCTCTCTCTCTCTCTCTCTCTCTCTCTCTCTCCTCTTCCAAACACCCATAACTTTCTCACATTCCATCCATCCATCCATCCCATTATTCTACTATATCTTATGGTCCTAATCATCAAACTGCTCCCCCGCTGCAAACGGGGGTCTTCCCCCTCCCCCCAACTCTCTCTCTCCTAATAAAGTTTCTCTCTCTTCTTCTGCGTATTTAGACAACAATAATTCATGCATGACTGACATTATTTTAAATTTGTGTGTTTTTTTACCAAGTAGTATTCTATATGAGAAGTGAGAATCATTCATAGTATATGTTAAAATAGAAGTGGAAAAAAATAAGGAGATGGGTTTGCTTCTTGTACCCACTTAGGTAGACACTAACCCTTGTCTTCCGGGTCTTGGGGTTATTTCATTCTCAAAATTTAGGGACAGATTGGAAGGAAATCTATATACCTAGCTATGCCAAATGAAATCTCAAAAGCTTCTGTCAATCTCTCTCTCTCTCTCTCAATATATTTATATATATATTATATAATGTGAATCTGGTTTTCACTTATTTAATTAAACTCTTCTATATATAGTATATTTTATTTATGTGTGAGAGTGTGTAAAATTAAGGACAGCTTGAGTCCATGAAACGTACAATAAGGATGGATAACAGTATTAATATGACTCAATTCACCTCACCTTTGTTTTACTTGTTGGATGCAGTTAAAGTCCATCTGGTTTTTGAATGGGAAGTGTTGACCAAAAATATTTACAGATTTACCCCTCCATACAGGAGGGATGTATGTACAAGTAAGTGAAATCAATTGTCCATACTAATTTTTTTTTCTTTTAGTAATATACCTTACTATTTTATTTATTTTGATATATATATTTATAAAATTACACAACAAATTACTAAAAAATTACACTATCGCCCCTTTTCACACAATTTTTTGACTCTGTCCCTGCTTCCATACACACTTAAAATATTGAATTCATCTCACATATTACTTAACTAACTACTGTATTTACTTATTGTCTAAAATATAGTCATTTTAGTTGGTTAAACTAAGATTTGACTAAAGGAAAAAGAAGGGATTCAACAATACAATTCCTTGCAAGTGCTGTCATGTGAGATATTATTTGCTTTACACACTTTATTTTTTGTAATTATAATTTTTTTTTTCAAAACACATTTATATAATTCCACACATAAATCTCATCAATTTTTCCCTCCCTCAGGTGATGTGGGACATCACAATCACCCCATCTTAGACCCAATGTCCTCGCTAGCTTGACCCGCATGCGCTTGTGCATGCCCCCAATTTTTGACTGAGGATTGACTTTGATATCATTTGCACACTCTACTCTTGGTATTCACAATTTGTTTCAAAACACATTTACTTGATTAAGGTTGTCCACACATATAAGTCTAATCAATTTCCCCCTCCCCCAGGCGACGTAGGACGTCATAATCACCCCATTTTAGGACCCAACGTCCTCGCTAGCCTAACCCGCATACACTTGTGCATGCCCCCAATTTCCAACGTACTAGGGATTATCACGACTCATCTCGACCCATATAATAGTAATAATAATAAAAAAAAATTCAGTGGGGGCAATTGCCCCCACTAAGCCACTCATAGCTTCATGCCTGCCAACGATATGGGATCTCATAATCACCCCATCTTGGGACCTAGCATCCTTACTGGTTTAACCCGCATGGCTTGTGCACACCCCCATTTTCTAGTTAGAGAATAGCTCTGATACCATTTGTTACCACTCACCCCAACCCTGTACATATTATATGTTTTGCACAATTTCCTCTCAATGTTCATGATTTTTCTCAAAACGCATCTACATGGTTAAGGGTATCCACACATATAAGTCTCAGTAACTTCTCCCTAATACGATGTCAAATGTCATAAGCACCCCTATTGGGACCCACCATCCTTGCTAGCTTGACCCGCATGGGCTTATGTAGACCTTCATTTTCGGCTAGGAATTGGTTCTAATACCATTTGTCATGACCTACCCCAATTAGTATAGATATTATCCGTTTTGCACACTCTCCTCTTAGTGTTTACGAATTTTCTCAAAACGTGTTTACATAGTTAAGAGATGTACGCACATATAAGTCTAACAACTTCTCCCCCAAGGCGATGTAAGTCGTCACAAGTGTATAATCTTTTTCTTTACTTTCCGATTAATAATGATAAGATTTATTACAAATCGAAAAGAAATTAATAGGGCAACAACTTGAGCGGACCAAACTCAGAGCAATTTGAAAAAAAAAAAATTGAGCTTGGGCTGTGAAAATTGCAATTCGGTTTGGGCTTAGGTTGAAAAGTAAGAACCTGGCCGGTTTCATTTCAAGGTTAGGTTATTACCAACCTAAGCCTGTATCGAATTACAATATCCAATATATATTTGTGTTTTTATTTTTTATTTTGGTAAAAGAGTAAGCTTTATAAGATAAAAGAAATATATACAACATGTCCAACTACCCAAAGGAAAATATTTCCAAGGTAGTGTACCATAAATAGTGAAGGCATTACAACACTAGAACCATTACAATTACTTGGTAAGCCAAGTAGAAACTGAAGTTAACTATATATTACAGCAGCAGCAATGTGAGGAACAACATAGCACAGTAAGCACCGTAGTGGAACAGCACAACAATGTGAGGAACTGGAGTTAAATATATACTAAAGCAACAGCAATGTGAGGAATGATAGTGGTAGCAAAAATTAATCCAAGCACGATCACAGTAAGAACCAAGATTGGCCACTTGCAAATGAGCATCCTTGAAAGAAAAGTTGTTGCAGTGCTTCAGGAGAACCTATCTTTCTTAATTCTGTATCATTTCTTAGCTTTAGGGAAGCAAATCTTGCTCTGATGCATCCTTTGATGAAATGGATTATATACTGATCGAGCTATGGCAAACCTATTCTTGAAAGCTCTAGCATTTCTCTTCTACCTAAATGGCACATGAAAGAAGAAGTTTATGTGTGATAAAGTGCTTCTGTGTCCAAGTTGATGTGCACCAAACAATTAGGTTCCTCCAATTATCTAGTTTGATATAAAACCCTGTAGCATGTTAAACAAATTCCCAAATAATGTTGTTGTATTTTCACTTGAAAAAAATGTGATCCACAGATTCACTTTCAGCAAGACACAAGTAACAAGCATTTGTGTAATGCTTCTTCATCATTGGTTTGGTGTCCAGAGTGGCTAATCTTTCCTTGAGTGTTAACCATGCAATATGATCGTGTTTGGGAATATAAAATTTGAACCATATGAGATGGTCCCAAGCAAAGACCAGTGAAGGAGGTAAGAAGTATACCATGGTGAGCCTATGAGAGTAATCAATTGCTGTGCTAGGGAGCCAACGGATTTGATCATTAACATTTTATGGTGTGGGAATGCATTGTAACTGTGTATTGAAATCTTGGGATTGGAAAAAGGGAAGATGATGAAGGGTGTTTGGAATGACCCACAGATTATTGGAAATTAGGCTATCAACTCTAACCTGATGGTCCAATTGAACAATTTCTAACACAGTTAGGCCAAGTTGTTGTACAATTGGCCCATTTGCTAACCATAATCTAACCACAAGCTTGTGCAATTCCC